CAGTTTCTTCCTATCCCTGCAAATACTCTTTGGGCTTCATAAATGCTGACAGCATGCACTGTGAAAACCTTCATTGGAAGGACTGTAACACAACACTTCATAAGCTGGTTGTTAGCATTGGCCTCCGAGATCAATGAAGTGTGCTCAAACTGAAGTGACAATGGATTCTGGGTTTCCCAAATCCAGCTTAAATTAGTAGATCCTAATCCATGTCTTCTGCTTGGAGTCCGTGGGTGACACAAAGAAAGAAACAACTTGGCTGTGGTTCCCAGTATTTCAAAAGGAGCTAAATGCCTTGTTCAATGCAGCCAAAACTTGGGCTGTTTCAGCCACAGAATGAGCAGCTGCAAGGGAATTTAGACCTACTCTGTCCACCTTTTCTTTGGTAGGTTCAAATGTTGATAGGTTGTCTCTGATGATTTTATCTAGGCTGGTGTTAACATGCCCAGAGCACATCACTAGATATATTAAGAATTTGACTCTTGAAAAATGGTCACTTTAAGGCAGCTTATTCTTTTAGAGACTTGTTTCATTTGAACAGTTTCATTTGAACTCCTGAGTTCAAATGAAGATACTGAAGCAGTTTTTATGCAGCCTTTTTGTTGAGGTGGGGAGGGCAGACAAGAGCCAGCCACCTCAAGCACTTGAGTGTGTTTCTGAAGCCACAGCTACTCTGTGCTCTGTACTTATTACAAGTCCTACCGAGAGATCACGTACAACCTGGGGACTGGCATAGCCTGCCTGCCTCTGCCTGCGCCAGCCACGTCCTCTCAGGGCTCTGTGCCTGCTGGGGAGCAGTTGTAGGAAGCTCTTGCCTAGAGTAAGCTGAGAGCTCCCGCTCTCCCCATGAGAGGCAGATTTCATCTGTCTAGATCCCAGATGATGGAAGGTAATATGTTGCATTCACTGCATTTTTTGACTTGTCCTCATCTGCTATTGAAGATCATATCAGTAGTTTTACATCCCTAATTTGCAAGTGATTTGCACTCCAAGTTGTGGGAACAAATAATTCTGCATGTAATTTAGAAAATATGGCCTGTGGAGTCTATTTGCAGTAACCATATTAGTTAAATTACCAGTGTGATTAACCATAAGAATGAATGTGCTTTCATAAATACCAAAGCAATTATTTCTGGTAATTTATTCCACTCCTTACAATATGGCTGCTAGAATCTGAACTGGTGTTTTGCAGATAATGTATTCCATATTTTGTGATGGGGACTTGAGAGAAATTTCTTCTTGTTGGGGCAATTAGCTTATACTAATTTGGAGAACATTTTCAATTTTCTTTATTAGAATTTAGGAAATTGTGAGTAAAATGATTTTCAGTGTAGGTGGTCAGCAAAATATTTAACAATAAAGTACACTTCTAAATTCTCTTGTTTCCCTGTCCTTTTATTTGGTAAGATTAAAACAGCATACATAACATGAGTGTGTATATATATATATATATATACTTCAGGATTATAAAACCCCCACTTCTACAGTGACACCAATTACATGTTTATTTCTGTGTTCATGTGAGATGCATTCCCAAATTATTTATCTAGCTAGAGATTAACATTACTTCAGTTGGGTTCATTCGGCTGTATGCTTGTTTTCACTTTTTTTTTATTATCTGTCCTAAATGAAAAACTTTAATTCATATTGTTAGTTTGTTCCTTTTGGTCTGGGTCCAGTACAGAATGCAGCCACATGAGTAGTTGAATTAACACAAGAGAGGTTTCAATTTCCAGGCAGAAATGAGGGAAACCGGTTTGGATTTAGTGGAGTGATGAGATCTCCAACTAGATGTTCTACTAGTTTGGAAGTATGACACCACAGGGTATTTCTTTGAGTTGAATAAATCCTTCACATTTTCATTGCTACTTGCAACATTTTAAATATTTGAATGCTGAATTTATGAAACACGAATTATGGATGTTACAAATACTGTCTTTGAATTTAAATTGTTTGAGAAATTGTAGGATTATTTTTGATTTATTAACATTTTTCCAGGGATAAGTGTATTGCTAGTATTGTGGGCAATCAAGTGGGAGTATTTCTCATGTGTATTATTGTTTAGCCAAGCTTCATCTGAACAAATATTCAACTCTCAAGCAGTGGCTCAGGAGTCATGCCTGTGATCTGAGTCTTCTTCTATACTTCTATTCCAATTTGCTATTTTGCTGTTGAAATCTTCAATTTTTATTTCAAGAAGCATCAAAATCATGATTAAGAGCCTTATTGATGAAAGGTTGGATCTTTGGAGGCCATCAGAGAGCGCTGACTGTTTCTGTTGAAAACTGGGAAATAGTTATTCACATCACTTCCTTTCAGCCCTCCTTAAATTCAGTATTAAGGTCAAAATGGCTACTATTTACCACTCGCACTCATACAAAAGTTGGATATATTACACGTTCCTAACTTCATGCTATATCAAAGTTGTATCTTATCAGCTGTGTGCCTGTGGTCACGTGAACCAGAGCACTTACTTCAATTAAAATCAATGTGGGAAAGTAAAACTACTTAAAAATAAGTTTTAGAGGGATGCTGTGAACAGATACACATGTGCTTCTATGAAGACTTGAATGACAGTTATGCTGGTTCTCCCTTGATTTCTCAGTAAATGGATGTGCAATGAATGTGTCGATTTTTTATTCCGTGAATTTTCTTCTAGAGTGAAGGCATACAGACTTGCAATTCTAATTCAGAGTAAAAAAATCTGCCTTATAAATTAATAAAAGTTACTATATACTCCTTCACGTATCACATAACCAAACATATATATTGCCCAAACCCCTAAATCTTTGAAAGATATGATATTGAAGACATTGGAGAATCATGCAAGATGTAGATGTTCTGTTAAATTTGCATAAAAATGAATATTTACAGATCAAAAGAGCTCTTTGGAACAAGAGAGTAATATCCTGTAACAATACAATAACAAGCATGGGGCTTCAGGAGTTGTGTGCCTTTCCTGTGTAACTATGATACAGTGTACCTTTTCTACAGGTACATTGTAGATAATCTTTTTCTGGCAGTTTTGTGGGAATATTTCTTTGAAATGAGTGCTTGTATTTTAGAACAACTCTGGACCAATGTTGGAAGTCAGCTGCCAGCTTTCATCAGTTGAATATAAATAATAAAACATCAGGTACTTGGAACAGTACAACCAATAGAAATGAAAGTGTTGATTTCTGCCCTTCATTTTTCATATGTCATGTTAGCCTGGTGTCTTTTTTATTTGTATTTATTGTATCAGGTGTTGATTGGCATTTTGAGAAATAGTTTTGATTAGTAGCAAATTTTTTTTTCATTCTGTTGGGTACTGCATTCACATGGGCAGCTGAAGTTCTAGAGGAGAATTACTACTTCTGTTATATTTAGAGACTGATTAAAAGTTATGGTCTTAAGGAGTATGTAGAAGGCTTGTAATAACCAGCATGATTTGAACCACTCATGATATTGCTAAAGAAATGTCTCACTGCTGTTAAATATTGCAGAGTTATTAATCTTCCTTGACAAGGAGCCAGTGGTTTTCAAGGTATTTTTGGTGTCTAGTTCCCACTTCACTTAATTTCCCATGTTCTTTATTTGACCTAATATTCCTCCTGACTAAGGGGCCTGAGAGACTTCAACCCCTGTTGCAGCCTGTAGGACAGTGACACTGAATGCACATGTTGAAATTGATGTCTCTATTCCATTCTCTGAGGGTGTAGGTCCTCTTATTCTAAGTCAGTCCCTGTATTCACATATTCTCCATGGGGTGTGAGAGTCCTGTTCTCCAAAGGGAGGACAATCTCCTCCCTTTGCTCATTTCCGTTTTCAAATCCCTAGAGTTTCACTGACCACAAAGGTCCAGAAATTCTTCTGACCTCTGGTATATGATGAGCCAGCAAAGGTGTAAAGGGTAGCAGATGCCACAAACAACTGCAGAAAGAAGTTGAGTCCCTAGATATCCAAGGATATTGGATATTACTCAACCCTCATTGTATCAATATTTAAGAATTCTGTTATTATTTGGTGTAGCTTACATTTAGAGTTCTTGATCTTTTATAATATTATCTGTATATCACACATCACTGTGCTGAACTCAAAGGTGTATAAAACAGATAGAAAAGGTATGCAGAATTACTTGCTCGATTACAGGGAACAGCATTTAAAAACAGAAATGACATGGAGTGACTGTCTTATTCATAAAAGAAAAACTGAAGCTTCATTCCTACTCATTTCTTTTTTGTGTGTGTTTGTTGCATTCAGTATATCTTCCAGCTGAGGTCTTGATCAAAATTCCTACACTAAAAATGCTACTATATTGTTTGAGTATTTTTTTCTGTGTCTGATACTCAGATGTCTGTTATGTTACTGTTTTTACAAATAAAATTAAACTATGCAAGCAGATAGAAAAAACGTTATTCTTGGAGGTGGTGATAAAGTGCATATATTGTGCATATTGTGCATAATACCCAATGCTGTATATTTGAAATATAAATGTACGGTAGCTAGTGAATAGAGAAGAAAGCATGGGAAGGGTTCTATATTTGTGGTTTACTATCCTCAGTAATGGATGTCTGTAACTTGATTTAGCAGATAACGACCGAATGTTTTTAAATAAAATAATTCATCTGAATTACAACATTTATCTGCAGGTTTTGACATCATGGTAACATTTTAATTAAATTCCTAAGAGGGATTTATTCACCCAAAGAAGATATATTTTAAACATGCTAGACTATGAATTGTTTAAATCTGGTTACCTCCGTGGGCAGCCTTGCTTTGTGTATATGCTGCCTGACCTTGAAAAGCAGGCAGTGACAGAACTAAGGTCCTGTAAAAGAGATTTACGATACTGCTTGACTATGATTAAAAACTTGTTAATTTTTAAATGGAAGTTTTGATACAGGTTGTTAATTTCTGTCTCTGCGTTATCCTGCCACGTGGAGTGGTGGTGTGCTGCTGGCAGGGCTGCCCAGCTGTGGCAGCACAGTGTGATGGGGGCTTCTCTTTTGTTTCCACAGAAGCAGGGGGCAAGAAGCTGCGGAGCACCGTCCAGAGGAGCACTGAGACAGGGCTGGCCGTGGAGATGAGGAACTGGATGACTCGTCAGGCTAGCCGGGAATCGACGGATGGAAGCATGAACAGCTACAGCTCTGAGGGAAAGTAAGTGGCAGTTATAACTCTGGTTTCCTGGTGTTTCTGCATGATACTGGTAGTTAGAGAGAAGCACAGTGAACAGTGTAGGTCCTATTTAGTCAGAATTCCCTTCACAAGCTAGTGTCGTTGATGGACCAAACCTAAGTCTTCCACTGTGACGGAAAGAGTCTCCCATTGTTGTGCCATAAGAAAGGCTCCTGGAGGGTCACAGCATCAACATGAGGTGTGTCAGGAGAGGGAAACAGGTGCAGCACACCAGGTAAAACACAGACAAGGACAAGTTCTCTTCCAAAAACTCCTTGCATATGTCAGTGCTTTGCAGAACAAAGTATTTCTGGAACATTTCCAGGTGTCATTCACTGGGCTCTAGAGTTTTTCAAAGATTCTGCTACTTTAATCCTGAAGAAATTAGCTAGGCAGAAGAATGAGTCTGTCATGTATCATGCTTTTCATAAGAGCCCAAGTTAAAGACTTATGAGTGGTATTGCCCAGAAGAGTCTTATTATGGGTTGATTTATTAGTGGTATTCACAGCACTGGTGATTCATCTGTGCTGCACAATGTATCTTACATGTCCAGGTTGATGCACTATATGCACTTGAGATAGACGTTTCTTTGTGGTTGGTCATTACAAATCTCATTAGTTCTTGTTGCTTTGTAATGGGTCACAGATAATTTATGGTAAGAATTTGAATTTTAAGTTACTTTGATCATTTGCCACAATGGATTTCAGTTCCATTATTGAATAGATGGCATTCTCAAGGACATTTTTAGCAAAATGTATAGAATGAATACTGATTTTAAAAGGTGATTTTAAAAATAGCAATCAGTATTCTGTCTAATGTCATCAATCAGTATTCTGTCTAATGTCATCATTTCACTGTGTGCGTTTGATATTCAGCCATTGAGTTCACAGTGACTGAGAAATGTGAGCAATTTTACCTTCATGTAACTAAAGCAGTGGTAAGAATGTGCATTAATCTCTTACTGAACTGGTCTCAAACGAATGCTGCAACAATTACAGTGGTCTTTAATATATTGGAGAAAGAGAGCATGATGGAAAAATACTAATGGGGAAAGTGTTGAGGATTAGTGCTTTTGCTACATATATGTATATATGGTGGAGGCTGAATTGGTGTTTGTTGAACACTGAAATTTTGAAAATTACAGTAATTGTTTTGCAAGTTCCTTGTGAGCAGGAACACTAAGTGCAAAATATCTAGAAAACAAAAACTAAAAAAGAACATTTCAAGTGGTTTTTTGTTTTGTTTTGTTTTTAATATTATTTCTAGTTTGATTTTCCCTGGTGTGAGGTTGGCTGCAGACAGCCAGTTCAGTGATTTTCTGGATGGACTTGGTCCTGCCCAGCTTGTAGGACGACAGACTTTGGCAACACCATCAATGGGTAAGAGTTTATGTCCTATGGATATGATATATTCTATTTGGTCTGGTAATTAGAACTTAGAATTTATCTAGATTCCCTTTAAATATGGATTTCCCATGTGGTTTTGAACAATTCAGTAAGCTATAACCACAGCCAAAGTAATCATGGATGCTTAACAAGACATTCTAAAGTAGTGAGGCACTTTGAAAAAAATCAGTCTTTTATCCCTTCTTCTTCAGTTTTGCATCCTTAAAATGGGACTACTGAGACCAGTCCTTTCTCTGAATCACTTTGATAATGTTGTATAAAAATGGTAATTTAGGTTCATAGTGTTTGTTATTATTGTGCTTACAGACTTTTAAATATTTACAGGTTATCTTTTCATATGTATCTTAAACTAGAGGCATGGTGAAGAGATTTCAAGCAGCTTTACAGAGCTGCTTTATACTAATTCCCTTCCTGCCTTTTTTGAATATGAAATTCTTAAGACAAGAAAGGGAAATTAATTTGAAGTAATAGGGGCATGGGAAATAGGAGTCAAGATGTTACTGCAGGGTTTTTTAGTAGTTTACTAACATAAACAGCAGTGAAGAGGGTAAATATTAAATTATCTAGTAGTGTTAAAATCCAGATCATACTCTCTGATGGAAAGCAGATGATACAAGTCACCACATGTTCATCCTAGAAATTCTCATGACATTTCATATATTTAAGTATTTCTGAATTATAGTGCCAGGATTTCTTTTTGTTATCTAGGAGATATTCAGGTGGGAATGATGGACAAGAAAGGACAACTGGAAGTAGAAATAATCCGAGCCCGTGGCCTTGTTGTAAAACCAGGTTCAAAGACACTGCCAGGTGAGGAAGAAAAATCTTAGCAACAATCTTAGTGCAGGGCCAGGAGTTGGACTTGTTGATCTTGATGGGTCCCTTCTAACTCAGTACATTCTATGATTCTAACTGATATAAAATTCACCCCTCAGTAAATCACAATGTTATACACTGAAATGCATAACATATTGAAATGATATACAAAAAATCAACCCTACTTCAGGAGGAAATTAAAAATCAGGCTACCATAAGACACAAAAGTATTTCAGCAATAGCAAATGCATCCTTTATTATTGGGTAGAGGGAAAGGTATATACTGAAAATTTTATGTAGGAATCTTAGAAATGAAGAGGGAATATGGAATAGGTACCTACTCAAAAAGTAGACCAGTATTTGATACTTACTCCTTATTTTATAATCCGACGTCCTATAACACTATGTGAAAAGGACAATAAAATGGTATTTTTAGCAAGCTCTTCTGCCAAAATAGAAATTGTGTCAGTCTTTTCTGCACTGATTTTCACCTTGTAGATAATTTTAAATTATTAACAATTTGGAGCATTGATTCAAATCTCACCAAAGTCATTGCAAGTCCCTCATTTACTTAATAGGCCTATTTTGCATTTTGTACAGTATAGGGACACTATATATAGGAATACCTGATTTTTTCAGGTCAAAATCTGAATTGTTTCATGGCAAAAGAGACATATAAAAAGAAATTAAGAAAAAATATACCAGGGAGAAGAGTAAAGAAAATGCATAGATGCTTTGCCTGGGAATAATTATTAATATTGCTTGTGGAGATTTGTTCATATAAGTTATGTATCCATTAAAAGGCAAATTTTTATATGATAATAGAAGGGGCATCTGTTATGCAAAAATCTGGACTTCTTTACTTACTGTTCTTTATGTTCTTTCTTAAAAGCACCATACGTAAAGGTGTATCTATTAGAAAATGGAGTCTGCATAGCCAAAAAGAAGACAAAGGTAGCAAGAAAAACTCTGGAACCACTTTATCAGCAACTTCTATCATTTGAAGAAAGTCCCCAAGGGAAAGTTTTACAGGTAATATGCATCAACATTCATCTGAACCTGAAAATGTCACCTGTACAGTTTTCACTGAATAAGTTTCAAACTTCCTTTCATGCCTATTTTGGCAATAAACTCTGATAAATAAAATATTTGTTGAGCAGATAAATACAACAGTAATAACTGTTTTTGCAAGTAGAAAGTACTGAGCTGCAGATTATTTTTTTTCTGCTTTATGTATGGGCTCCTCTCACTCAGTTTTCTCTGGATAACTGCTCTATTACTGCCCAAATAATTTCTGTGTCTTCATCATGAATTAGTATGCAAAGAACTAAACTATGTTAACAGTCAGATATTTCATTCCTTACTGTAATTAAATAAGCAGAGACATTTGACAAATCAGATAGAAGCTTTCATAATTTTTGCTGAAATCTTTCTATTTTCTCCTTTCTTTTCCCAACAGATAATTGTTTGGGGAGACTATGGACGTATGGATCACAAATCCTTTATGGGAGTGGCACAGATACTTTTAGATGAACTGGACCTGTCCAACATGGTGATTGGGTGGTTCAAACTTTTTCCTCCTTCTTCCCTAGTAGACCCAACTTTAGCTCCTCTCACTAGAAGAGCTTCCCAATCATCTCTTGAAAGTTCAACAGGACCTTCTTATTCTCGCTCATAGCAGCTGTGAAACTGTTGTCATAGCAACCAGCGTTACAAAAAAATAAAATTACAGGTCGCAAACCCTGGTAACACTGCATGCTTAATGTTGTGTCTTCTGAGCCTGTTTCTAGGGCTGCAACGCGATCCTGTGTTCTCAAGGAAGTTGCACACATTGTGCCCTACAGAAGGCCCTCAGGTGATGGACTGAAATCATGAAGAACTGATAGGTTTGGAGTTCAGGGACTCAGTTTTGGTCCAATCTGAAGCCATGGACTAAACTAAAAGAATCAATCTGTTTCATGCAACAAAAGTCCTTTTCAATAGCATATCTGTTTTGTTGCTCCCGTTTCTTTATTTATCTGCCCTCCCCTCCTAAAGCTTGGTTATGCCACAGAAATGGAGTTACCCTCCCATGAAGCCACGTTACAAGTCAGTGGAATAACAGACCCTGGAAGAAAAGAAGAATGTAAGGATGCTGGAAAAGTCAACTGGCACTTGCAGCAGTTGCTTGAGATCTGAAAAATCTTCACATTGAAAAGGTTCAAGACTTACAGTGGCGGGCTTCATACCTCCAGCTGTTCACACAGTGAAATCCCAGACATGATGGACTCTCTGAAAAATAAAATTCTGTGGATATACTGTACTGTATGAAATTAAGAAACTTTTTTGCATGGACAGAGATTTAGCTGAACACTTAAATTATTTTCTTGGGGCTGCAACTTGCAAAAAAAAAAAAAGAATAAATCAGCCATTTTCAACAGTTTATATTATTTTTAAAAATAAATTTCACTAGTGCATGGTTTTAAAGGAAAGAGAATGCAACAGGGTGATACAAAGACACACCACGTTTATCATTCTTTAAACCAGTCATGGTCTGTATTTTTGCAGACTTATATTAAAAATAAAAAATAATTTCTAGCAAATATTTAAAATTCTGTTTATGTGACAAGAAATAAGTGTAATATATTAAATTTATTTAAATGTAAAAGGTACAAGCCTTGTAAAGTTCAACATAATGTGCAAATTGTACACTTCTTTTACCTCCTCCTTTCTCTATCTCTCCTCCCAGTCTCCCTTCTTCCTTTTGCTCTTTTTCCCCTCTACCTCCCAGGATGATCAGCATATTCTAAAATGGCTACCTTTTGACTTATTACTCTCTTATGCCCCATATTTGGTTCAGGGTTGCAGATTGTTCTGCATTTCTGAATTATTTGAGAAAAATATTGTTTAAGAACTTACTTTTTTTCAAGCATGTTGAAAAGGATTTTGCAACATGGCTTGGGAGTACATTAATGTAATTCAGCATGTATTTGATAAAGAAGATATTTGAACTTTTTGCAATTTATTGTACAGTGCATGGTAACTTATTTTCATTTTTTTCTCACCTTCAAATTGAATTCTACAGCAAAATACTGGAATCATGTGGCCATTGTAAGATGTCTTCAATAAATTTGTTTTCAGCACCAGCATCTTTCATTCAAAGACTGAACTATCATTTCTTGAAGGTTTTTGGAAAGAGAAAAAATTAAGTACCTGGTTGATTTTTAGGAAATAAATTTAAGCACTTTTATTTGCACTAAACTAAATTGATTGCTACGTTTTTGAGATTACAAAAGCAACAAAGGTTACTAATTCAGACAGTTCTTCTGCTGTAAAGTTCAATTTTCATAAATTACATTTGCATTGCAAAAGACATAATTAGGTAATATCAGTCTGGAAAATAACAGTCTTTGGTTTGTAAAATAGCCTTAAAGAAAGCTTATCAGTACCACTCTGACAGCTATTTGACACCATTACCAGAACCTCGCTGCAGTTAATGCATCTTCAAAAACCTGTTTTTTGTAGCATACAGTAACTACCATTGGGTGGTGCTGCAAGTTCAAGCTTCTCATTAAATTATGTTGTTTAAAGGGAATGTAACTGGCTAACATTTAATAACAAATATCCTTTTTTTTCTTTCTGGGTTTTTGTATGCCTTTAATACCTACTTAAGGTTTATTATTGAAACCTTGCAATAAATTTTGAAGTATATATTGCATTTACCTTTAAGGCCACACAGAATTATTCTGATTTTATTTGAAAAATCTACTGAAGTTTCCCATTAAAAAATTGTAGATGCCTCGTAAGAGGGCAAAGGTAATAACAGTATCACTTATAATGCCTTTTACTTTGTGCAATATCATAGAAATCGAGATTGTGTCTTGTCTGCAGAGTTTATATAATGGATTATTGTTAAGTTAATAGACAGACTGGTAAAATTATATTTATTGAAATAATTTAGACATCTGTCTACCAGCAGCAAATAAATACTACTAACATGCAGTCTACAATATCCCCTAGGATATAAACAAAAATAACATAACCATTTTCCTGACACTGTGAGGTGTGCTCACACATTCTTGTATACATAGTCCTATATAAATTACTTCAAATTTTAAAATCAAGGAGATGACACATGGAAGGTTTGTACATACATTATGCAGTATTTATTTTAAAAAAAAATTAATGTATTTTTTTTAATTTTCACACGTCTGCAACTCTAATTATGGTTTATTCATGTAAATAGCACTATTCCAGTGATCACTGCTGTCTTGTACATAGTACGTTTTAAAAAGTTAAAAGGAATTACAGTTGGGGGAAAAAGAAAAAAAAAAAAGGGCAGATTAGGCCTGTCATGAACACCAACTAATGTAAATCAAACTCATTCTGGTGATGGTATTTAACACTTTAAATAAAACATTTTCTTTACAGAATTTGCGTGCAGCGCTTTGTTGCTTTTCTCCGAAGTGGGCAGCATCCTTCAGTGGAGCTGGTGGCAAGCAGCTCATGCAGCTGAAGAACAAGCAGGCTTTTCTTCTCTGAACGGGGCTGCAGATGAAATGCCATTTTTAAGATGCCACGATCACTGCCAGGCTTGGGGAGCAGTGAGAGGCCGGGTCTGCCTGCCCCCAGCCAGGCATCAGGCTCTGTGCTCCGGCCACCTTCCAACTCTGACATGCTGAAAAAGTGCAGCTCCTGGGATGGAGCTGGCCCCAAGCTGCCAACCCTGGCTGTGAGGACATGCTCCAACTCCGATATAACCAGGATGCTAAATGTGCTGAGACTCTGAAGTGCTTCCACCATCTGTTGTGGAGTGGCTGCACCATCCAGTTAAGACTTCCAGCGTATCCATTTGCAGGCTTCCACCCTATCCCTAGATACCACCTAATATTAGCTGCCTTCTTTTTTCGTGAGCAGGGTACAAATGAGGACAGAGTGCCCATCTGACAGTGGTGGCTGCAGGGGCTTGTGCAGCCTCTGCATCAGGAAGCAGGCAGTGGTCCAACACCTCTACAGCTATGCCAGGGGTGGGTGGTGACAGCGGGGGGAGTGAAGACTTTTATCTCTGCCTGACCCCTCAGAGGCAGCATCAGCATAGGCAGTGGTGACTGGGTAAAACACGAGCACTTCATGAGGTCAAATACCTGTGCCTTGGAAATTTACTGAAGAGTGAGAGGCTACCTAGCAGTTTGCACAGCAAAATGCGTGTATTTGATTACAGATATGAGGCAAACGAAGCACTGCAGTACTGTCATGAGACAAAAACACCAAAAAAGCAAGCAAGTGTATTTTGGGCCGAGCAGTGGTGGGAACTCCATTTGTTGTACTGCATCTGAAAGTGTGGTGCTGGGGGAACAGACTCAGGTTTCTGGTGTGTTAAGCCGCTTGTATCCCAGCAGGTCCCTCTTCTGCTATCACTGGCATTGCTCTTGCAAGGGTGCCAGGGCTGGCAGGTACTTGTGTAGGAGCTGAGCTGCAAGGGCAGGTGAGGCTGCCCTGTGCCCTGGAGTGCATCACCTCCAGCCCTGTGGTGGGGTGGGCAGCAGGGCAGCAAACCCACCTCCTCCTATAGCTGAACATGAGACCTGGTCTGCCTTTGCCAGTCTTTAGAAATATACACAATTACACTCAGAGAATACTTGAAAAGGTGTGCTGATACAGCTGTCCAGGCCAAAAAAAAAGCCACAACATACTTTTGTAAAGGGTCCTGTTCTTCTCTGAGGCAGTTTCTCAAGACTAATTGCTGTTTCCCCTCACCAATTTCTTCTTGTCTACCTCGACTTAATTTCAAACCAAACAAGTTTAGTTCATTTTAATATTAACAGTTCTGCTTTACTCATGACTACTAAATGTTGGCTCAGATGACTGATTCATGCTGTTATTCTGGGAAGTATTTATGCCAATAAAAAATGCAGTAAAATACCACATCTCCCTAATTGTGGGGCTTTTCTGCTTTCATTTCTTTACTTCAGGTCTTTAAGGCTTAAATAGCAGGATGCTCCTGCCACGATGAGGGTGAGCTTGGGGCCAATATATCCTAACCAGCACACCACTGGATTCTCATAGTTTTTCTCTACTATCAAATAGCTGTTCACAGTTCTGTAATTAATTAAAACTTAACAGTTTTTATAGAGAAGTTTTATAGAGAAGTTAATTATAGCATAAAAGTTAACAAAGCAATAGATTTCATTTTCAATGGAGCTTCCTCACAAAGTTAGATAATGCTGTGAGGGAGTCTAGAACAGTTCATACTTATTTCCTTAACTCATCCCTCTGTGCAATTCTCACCTCCCTGACACCCAAGCAGCAAAGAGCCGACACCAGAGCTGTAGACCTTGTAACCGTCTTCCAACTGTGACTACCCTCTCTGTCCCTTCCTTGATAAGTATTTACAGCAACCCTTTACCATGAGAAAGCAGCAATGCAAGAAAGATGCACATTTGCCCAGTAAAGAATGGTTCACCTTTAGGACAGGTTTATGAAAACTAGCATTATGTGGCCAAAAAAATCCAAAACAAAACCAAAAGCAGTTATTTGCTACTAATACCAAAGACAAATAAACTTCTGGGATTATTGACTTACTACCTGCCTATTTTAGATTCTTGTTTAGGATGGGATGAGTCATGCTAGGGAGATCAGATTCTCTCCCTCTCTCTCTCTGTTGGCCACAAAAGCAGAAAGTGATGACTGGGTTGTGCTGAATGTCCAACTTCACGGTAGCTGTTCTTAGGAGAAGTGGATCCAGCCTTACAAGTCAGAAATAAGAACAAGGATTCCATGGTCCTTCAGTAGCAAGACCTATCTGAACTGCCTGTATAATTATCTGGTCTGAGGGCAGCAGTCGGCTGATGACTGATGAAGGAAGAAATAGCTGGGAATTAATTTCCCAGATCTAACACACTGCCATGTCAGGTCACTTCTCAGCCCAGCCCCAGGGAGAAAGAGAAGCAGCCATACTAATTAAGCCACAGGGCATTGGTGCCCCAAAATATATTTGACGTGAGGTCACATGGAAAGGAACGAGCATCCTAGATCTTCAGAGAGTGCAGAGCACAGGACTAAGGAAAAGTTTGTCAGAAATGCCTTCCTCTATGACTGTTTCTGCAACCAAGTACAGTTTATAAGGGCCATCCAAAATGTGCATATTCCTGAACTGGTGTTTGCATGAAGACAGAATGGGTGAGTGGCACTGGATGTATTAGCTTCATGACCACAGCAGTTTAGGATACCGCACTGAAGTGGGAGAAGGTTTGGCACTGATAGACTGTTTCAAGATCAAGACTCACAAGCAGTGTCTGAGGTCACTTGGCTTGTTCAGCTTGGAGAAGAGAAGGATGAGGTGTGACACCATTACAGTCGAAAGCTTTCTCATGGAGGCCAGTGGAGGGAAAGGTGCTTATCTCCTCTTTGATGACCAGTGATAGGACATGAGGAAATGGAATGGAGCTGCATTGGAGGAAGTTCAGATTGGACAATAGGGAAAGGCTTTTCACCCAGAGGGTGGGCAGTCACTGGAACAGGCTTCCCAGGGAAGGAGTCATGGCACCAAGCCTGTCAGAGTTGAAGGAGTGTCTGGATGATGCTCTTAGTCATGTGGTTTTGGTATAGGTGGTCCTGAGAGAAGCAAGGAGTTGGACTCAATGCTCCTTATGGATCCATTCCAATTTGAGATATTCTATAATTTCTCTGGACAACTGTTAGCGGGGCTAGTGTAAAAGTTGTTAGACAAAGTCCTTCTGTCTAGCTACAGTTTTAGTAAAGGAATGGTCAGTGTTTTGAAAATTATATTTCAGAATATTCTGAGTTCAAAGGCACCCACAAGGACCATCAAGTGCAACTCTTTAGGTGACACCACTCACTGAAATGAAAACAAAGCAAAACCTAGTTTGAATGCCAATAGTGGCCAAAATTATTATTCCCTTGATGAAAATTAAAAGAAATTTGAGGAAGACTAAGGGATGAAGTAGTAATGTAAAATTATCAAAGTAACAGATATTTTATTGATATCCATTTTGATCCTCACTTTTTTTTCTGGTTAATTAGTACTTTAGCAGCAACATTCCTGAATAGTGGCAGACAGATCCTTGAAGATGAGGAATAGTCATTTATATCATGTACCATCTCTCAGGGACCAGCATACTGAGAGTTCTGCTGCATGGGAAGAAACTCAATTAAGGAGCTTGAGGACTTTTGAAGTGCCTTCTTACAGTTTACCACAAACCAGAAATGACACAAAGTTTTTCTTTATCTAGGAGTTTCTCAGCCCATATTCTGATTCCATACCAAATTCCAAGCTGTGATTTTGTGTTTTGGAGTTTGTATTCGAGAACTGCTTACTCTCAGATCTGCTAACCTGGACTTTCAGAAGCCTTAGTTATCATCTGCCAAATGCCTGAGGCGTCAGTGCAGTTACACAACCTCATGCACGAACAAATGGGTCCTGTCCTTCACAGTGTTTTGGCTGTACAAACACCGTGTTTTGGCCCAACAGTCTGGAAGCCAGCAGCTCTAGCTCTCTAGGAACAGCCCTGGAGTAATATGGCACTTCACCAATAGACAACTTTATTTCTCGCTGACAAAGATACAAGTTGGAGAATTGACATTTTTTTATATATCCCGATACACTTTGGCCATTGAAATAAAGTGAGAGCTAAGAAGAGTAGATCTCAGAGTGAACCAAGAAGTGTTTGGGTAACATGAAGGGAAGCAGGCCACCAAATCAGACAAAAACCAACTTCATCTCTAATCTACCCCCTAAACACACAAGCCAGGTGCTAGATAAGGAAATGCTGAGTAGAGGTAACATGTTCCTTAAGATGTCAGCACCTTAAGGAATCTTAAACAAAGCAAAACAAAACCTGTTGGCACAGCTCTCAACTCTGAAAGTTTCAAAAAAAAAAAAAGAAAATATGAATCCCCATTTTGGATTGCTCTGAACTCTACTGATTTCTAAACCAGGATTTCTTGTTTTCAGTTAGCACGCTGAGGTATCAGTAAAGATCTGTACAGCTGTAGGGCTAGTTTTATTTAGTTTTATTTATTTGCATGGGTAACTAAGAACATATTATTATATAGCAATTGTTATCTTTACCTGTTTAGGCACAACTTTTATTTCTTTGTTTTAAGAATGATCTCAAACTTAACTACTTCCCTGTAACTTTTCCACATCTCATGTATGTCTGGTTGATACTAAAAATGTGAGCAGATGCCTTAGGCAAGAGATTCAGAATAATCTAGCATATAGTTTTCTCTCAGCAACTTTGCTTTCCTAATCAGTGTTGAGTTACAAACTTAATTGTGACATCTGAGTGTCAATATCACTCATTAAACCACAGTTACAGTCCAAGATGGATACTCAGACTGTGCTCAGACATCAAATTTAGATGAAAGAGGGTCAAATTTAGGAGTCTATTTAATTACACTCAATGGAAAG